CCAGGACGACGCCGCGCAGCGCCGGACGCGGACCACTTTCATGCTGATTCCCCCGGACTCGGGCAGCGCTCCGGCCACTCCGCGGGCCGCCGGCCTCCGCCCCGGCCTGCCTGGCTCCCTGGGTGCGCCCGCGCCCGGCGCCTCGGCTCTCCCAGTCCTCCAGATTTCGATGGCTTTCCTGAATGGCTGACTGTGGGCTGCCCTGGACTTGGCCCCCGGACAGTCTCTCCTCCTCCTCCTTCTCCTTCTCCTCCTCCTTCTCCTCTTCCTCCTTCTTCTCCTCTTCCTCCTCCTCCTCCTCCTTCTCCTCCTCCTCTTCCAACTCCTCGGCTGCACACTAGATCTGAGAGCGAGAGAGTGAAGGAGAGGGAGGGAGTGAGTGAGAGCGAGCGAGATCTTTGGAGATTTTTTTTTTTTTTTTTTTTTTTTTGCCTCCTACTTCTGTCTTGAAGCCAGACAATCGACTTGCAGCTCTCCCTCCCCTCCCTCTCTCTCCCCACGTTCTGCTCCCACTCTCTCTCCCCTATCCCCTTCCCCTCCCCTCCCCACGGAAAGCCCCCCGAAACCAACAAAGCTGAGCCGAGGGAAACAAACAACACAAACACACCGGGCCAGACAAGCCATCGACAAAACTTTGCAAAAGCAAAAACAAAAAAGGAAAAACTAACCAACCTCAATCAACTAGCCCTGAGCCACCCGGGGCGCCCTCCCGCGCCCTCTCGAACCCTCGCACACACAAAAGGCGGCGCGCAGGAGCCCGAGACCCGGGAGCCGCCGCCGCCCCGCCGCCGCCCGCAGCCAGGGGAGCAGGAAGTCCGGACGCGGCCCCCATAGATATGGCAATGGTAGTCAGCACGTGGCGCGACCCCCAGGACGAGGTGCCCGGCTCTCAGGGCAGCCAGGCCTCGCAGGCGCCGCCCGTGCCCGGCCCGCCGCCTGGCGCCCCGCACACGCCACAAACGCCGGGCCAAGGGGGCCCGGCCAGCACGCCGGCCCAGACGGCGGCTGGCGGCCAGGGCGGCCCTGGTGGCCCGGGCGGCGACAAACAGCAACAGCAGCAGCACATCGAATGCGTGGTGTGCGGGGACAAGTCAAGCGGCAAGCACTACGGCCAGTTCACGTGCGAGGGTTGCAAGAGCTTCTTTAAGCGCAGCGTGCGGAGGAACCTGAGCTACACGTGCCGCGCCAACCGGAACTGTCCCATCGACCAGCACCACCGCAACCAGTGCCAGTACTGCCGCCTCAAAAAGTGCCTCAAAGTGGGCATGAGACGGGAAGGTATCGGCCTCTCATTTCTCCCCCCTTCGCCCGGGGTCTCGGGGCCCTGGGTGCGTTTGGCTAGCCTGCTCTGGGTAAGGACAAGCGGCCCCAGCGCTGCTCTTCGCATTGCAGCCGAAAGGGGTTTTATACTAGAAGGAGTTCTGCACTGGAACCCCGACCTCCAAATCCGCATGCTTTGGCGGACTGATTTCCTTCTCTCTTCGAGCTGTTTTCATTTTCTATGCATTGATTGAGAGTTCATTCGAGTTCACCTTTCTTCAAGGGATGGGGTGTTGTTGTTTTAAAGCCTGCTCTCTCGCTCGCGCTCTCTCTCTCCCTCCTTGTTTTTCCTGCATGTTCAACATATGTCCCTCCTCCCCACCCCTCTCCCCAGCCCCCACCCCCTCCAAGGAAAAACCAACCTGAGATTGTACTTTTGTGCGGGGGGTTCAAATTACAAATGGCAATTTTATGCGCTTCGCCGTATTAACGCTGCCGCCCGGGCAGCACTCATGTGACCCTCCGTGGATTAACATTCTGCTAAAAGAAATATCTCTGTTTTCTTTTCTTTTTCCTTTCACTTTTGTAACCGGGAGAGTGCTGTAGGGAGTAGGAAAGGGTGGGCGAGGGGCCTCGGGCTGCTGCCTTCGCTCTGCGCGAGTTGGGTCTTTGTGAGATAAAATTCGCCCGGCGCAGCTAGCAGTGTTCTGCCAATGGCGCGCGGCGCGCGGGGCGCGGGCTCCGGCTCCGGGCGAGCCAACGCCGGGGTTTCTTTGTGTAACTGCGAGAGCGACTCTCCCGGTCCGGAGTCAGATAACAGCGCCAGCCCGAGCCTAGCCGGCCTGCTCCGGCCCTCGCGGGCCTTGGCCCGAAGGCCCCGGCGCCCGGCGCCTGCTCCCTGCCTCTCCCCGGCTGCCTTTCGCCTTAGCCGGCCTCTCTCTCTCCGCCCTCTCCCTGCGTCTCTGCAAGCTCACTGATTAGGCAGACGCCAGATCTCGACTCTTCCCTCCTCTCTCGCCGCGGGGGCTCCGGGCCGTGCTGGGACTGGGGCCCGGGCTAGGGCTGAGGTGTTCGGGGAGAGTAGCTCGGGGTGGCTACAGGCGGTCCGGGGCAAACCCCTGGGTCCTGCAAAAGCGTCTCACCCTCCTCCTAGACTCGCCCCTCCCGCTCCCTCTCCTCCAATCAATAAGAAATATCAGCTGTTTAGCAGTAAAGAAGAAAGATGCCCCCAGAATGCTCCATCCCGCCCACAGCTTCGGGGACCCCACAGGCAAAGTGGCCAATTCTGGGTCCTAGGCCGACCAGCCCGAGCGGGCCTCGGAGGCAAGTGTACTGGCCTGGCCATGAGAGCCTGCCTGGGTGGTGGTTTGTGAACAGTGGTGGCCGGGCACCAGGCGACTTCCAGGTCTGTGGCGGGCCTGCCTGGCTCAGGGGTGGCTCAGGGCCAGGGGCAGGTGAGGGGTCGGGCTAGGGCAGACCCCGTGGGGGACCTGGGATCAAGGCTAAGCATTAACTGTTGAGTGTCTCTTTTCCTCCCCAGCGGTGCAAAGGGGCAGAATGCCACCCACCCAGCCGACCCACGGGCAGTTCGCGCTGACCAACGGGGACCCTCTCAACTGCCACTCCTACCTGTCCGGATATATTTCCCTCCTGCTGCGCGCCGAGCCCTATCCCACGTCCCGCTTCGGCAGCCAGTGCATGCAGCCCAACAACATCATGGGCATCGAGAACATTTGCGAACTGGCAGCGCGGATGCTCTTCAGCGCCGTCGAGTGGGCCCGGAACATCCCTTTCTTCCCTGACCTGCAGATCACGGACCAGGTGGCCCTGCTTCGCCTCACCTGGAGCGAGCTGTTCGTGTTGAATGCAGCACAGTGCTCCATGCCCCTCCACGTTGCCCCGCTCCTGGCTGCTGCTGGCCTGCATGCTTCGCCCATGTCCGCCGACCGGGTGGTCGCCTTTATGGACCACATACGGATCTTCCAAGAGCAAGTGGAAAAGCTGAAAGCGCTGCATGTCGACTCCGCTGAGTACAGCTGCCTCAAGGCCATAGTCCTGTTCACCTCAGGTAGGAAGGAGCCCTGTCCTCTGGTGCCCTGGTGCAGAGTTAGGACCCAGAGAGGTTGGGACACACCAGGGCACACCCAGCTTGTCCTCCTTGGAAGGCCTGGCTGTGGATCCAGTTCCAAGCTGGAATTCTGTGTGGCTGCTGGGCACCACCAGGCTTGGCCTGGCCCAAGGCTGGCTTGCTGAGAAGATGCTGAGGCACCTCTCCCAAAGTGGCACACAGGGCAGCCTCGCCGACCTTTTCTTCTTCTTCTGCAGTGCCCAAACTGGGTGCACTGTCCTGCTTCCTGGCTGAACCCCGGCCCTTTGGGCCTACTCAGCCCCCTGGGAATCCCCTCGAGGCCCTGGCTTTCTCTGGTATGCTGGCTGGGCCTCTAAGAGATGCTCATGGGCTCAGGAGGAGCCCTGCCTGGCATCTTCCCTGCAGGAGAAAGTTTGCCCCTGCAGGGGACAAGTTTTCCTTGTAACTCGGTAGGAGTTTGAGAGACACAGGCAAATCCATGCTGAAGGAAGCAGTTTTCTAACTCATATTCATTAAAATAATACAGACACCCCAAGAGAAGGGAAAAGAGCTGTCAGAAAGGGGTGAGAGAAGGAAAGGCCATCCTAACCTCAGACTGTCTGCAGGAGTTGTGAGCTCTGGCCACTGGCTTCCTCACCCAGACAAAACCTTAAGACAACTTTCAAACAATCCAAAGAGTGTGCCAGCTTGTGCTGGACTGGAGCTATAAGGCCGTCATTGACTGTATTATGAAATCTAATTAGTTTGCATGTAGTTTAACCTGTGTGAGTAATAGATCTGATATTAATTAACTCTTGAGGCCAAATGATTTTTGAAGGTGTCTGGCTTTCCATTTTGGGCCACACCTGAGCCTTTGGGCTGCCTCCAGGCTCAGCCCAGCAGAGCCCAGGTGGGTGGAAATTACCCCCTCCCTTCACATTCTTGTACTAAGTTGTCAGCTGATCCCTTTGTCATGGCTGCGAGGGGACAGGGGTTCCCGGCTAAGAATAACAAACATTTGGACACTGGCAGGGCTTGCAACCAGCCTAGTCACCCACTGCAGGTCTTTAAACTTGTAATTGGGAAAGTAGAAAAGATGGATAGGTTAGGTGACAAACAGAAAAGATATCCACAATTTCTTCCTTATTGTTTGGAAGAAGCCTGGGGAATTCAGTCATTAGCTAAGTCTATGGCTGGTCCTGAGTCTTCAGCTGTCTTTTGTACAGGGCTGCTATTTACATAAAATGTCCCCCCACAGCCACCCCAAGTCAAGCCTTTGGAAGTCATCAGTAATCAGTTAGCGGGCAGCCTCTGGACAGAGTAGAGCTGGGAAGCTGGGATCTGCACTATTTTCCTCATGAGCCAGTCATATCTCCCTTGTATGTCTGATACTAAGGTACAGACAAGACAGTCCCCCACCCTCCAGCCTCCTTCTCCCTCTCCCCTTAAGCTGACACCCAGCCTGTGTCCTGCTGACACTGGGCCCAAGTTCTCAGAGGACAGGAGTGGTTGATAATTTCATGCTATCATTGTTAGTTCTTTGCCTTACCCTTGGTCTTTGAAGGAAAGAAATGACTTATACAGTTTAATTTATTACTGTTTGCAAAACGTGGAGGACTGTGTGGAGAATGCAAATGCCTTCACAAAGAGATAAAGGTGGCTGTTATCTGATTCACAAGGAGCCCCACCGAGCAGATGCAGAGGGAGTCCTAGACAAACATCCTGAAATTCCTTACCACAGACACCTATGCCTTCTGTAGACACGTAGAGTCCTAGGCATGGCTTTGAGGAGGTTGGCAGGTTCCGGTTCCAGGGGAGGAGGTGGTGGCAACTGCCTTGGAATATCTGTTTTAGTGATTCACCATATGCATGTGGGGAGCAAGGACAGGTCAGATCACTCACTACCTGAGCTGTCTTCTAGGAGAAGCCTCTCATTAGTGTACTTTCACGTCTCTGAAAAAGAAGTGTTTTCCTGAAGATAACAGGGAGCAGGGTGCTTCTTGGAGGGGCCTGGGTTTAAAAAAAAAATAGGGGGGGTGGGTGGGAGAAAAAGGGAGAGAGAAGAAAAGGGGGAAAAGAAATAGCTCAAATGAACGGAGAGATCACAGTGTGCATGGCTGCCCTTCAATAGGCTAAACTGACAAGATCAGTTTTAAAGGGCCACTTAAATCAGTTTCAAAGACTGGAGAAAAATGAGTTGCCCTCTTTGGGGAGAATCTGAGGCTGGGTTGTGGACGCCATTACTCGAGACTGGGCCAGGTTGTCCCCCACCCCCCAGCCACTATATAATTATAATCCAAACTATTATTTACTGAGGAGGAGGGGGAGGCCTGCTGGCAGCTTGGGTCCGTCTGTTTGTCTGTCTGAATACTGACTTGAGCTGGATTCACCCAAAGCAACTCTGCTTGAGCCTTCCAGAGCCCCTTTCTGAGGGCTGGGCAGCGTGAGCTTTAGCACAGTGAGCTGTGCTTTATTTCAAAGCCAACACTCGAGGACCACCTCAGGCCTGCAGCTCCGCTGCCCCCAGGTTTTCACCACATAGACGTTTGCCCCACATCTGAGTTTGACAGGGCTCTGTGCACGCACCTCATGTGACCATTTCAAGCCTCTTAATCTGATGACTGAATTCTTCTCTCTCTCTCTCTCTCTCTCTCTCTCTCTCTCTCTCTCTCTCTCTCTCTCTTTAACTTTCTTCCAGATGCCTGTGGTCTCTCTGATGTAGCCCATGTGGAAAGCTTGCAGGAAAAATCCCAGTGTGCTTTGGAAGAGTACGTTAGGAGCCAGTACCCCAACCAGCCCACGCGATTCGGGAAACTTCTGCTGCGCCTGCCTTCTCTCCGCACCGTGTCCTCCTCAGTCATAGAGCAATTGTTTTTCGTCCGTTTGGTAGGTAAAACCCCCATCGAAACCCTCATCCGGGATATGTTACTGTCCGGCAGCAGTTTTAACTGGCCGTATATGGCAATCCAATAAATAAATAAATCAAAATAATAAGGGGGAGTGAAACAGAAAAAGAAAAGGCAAAAGACTGGTTTGTTTGCTTAATTTCCTTCTGTTAAGAAAGGATATAAAAGATGTTACACGTTTGCTAAAAGAAGAGAGGGGAAGAATTTAATGGACTGTGAATTTCAAAAAAAAAGACTGTCAAATGAACTTTTACAGAATGCATTAAAAAAAAACTCCTGTGTTGGTCAGAAAAACTTGCTACTTATCATTTTTGTATAAAAAGGAAATTAGTCTTTTTCTTTTTTGGTAAATTTTTGAAAAATATTGCTAAAAGTGCATTTAAGGAGATTGGGAGGAAATTAGCAGAATGGAGAAAGTGAGTCTTTTTTTTTCCAAATTATTAATTGTCCTGTGTCTATGTATCTCTAGCTGTTCTTTTTTGTACTTTTCTGGTTCCAAACCAGTTTATTCTGTGGTTCTATAATAAGTTTTGATATAATCTTGGCTTCTTAAAAACTGTGTATCATTAAAATATATGTTCTGCAAGAATTAAAACTGAGTCCATGAAAATATCATAGGAAGACATAAAACTTTAAAAAGCAACTCAAAGATTATGGAGACGCACTTACAAGTGGTGACCAAAAATTTTAGGTGAAGTTGAGCACTCTAATTAGAGAATGGGAGGAACCACATCCAATACTTAACTTCCCCTGCCCTCCCCTTGCCCCCCAAAAGACACCACGGCAAACCTAGCTTTTTAAAAATATTTTAAGAAAGAGAATGAACTGTGGAATTTATTGGCAGCCAAGGAATGTGTCCAAGACACATGCTGAGGTTTTGAATAAAAAGTGAACTTTTGTAATTTGATTGGGTTCCGGCTTAGTTCTTGAATTGTTACGAAAAATCCTCTATCTGTTTGTATATTTGCCAGCCCTTTGTATTATAATTGTTGATATTTTCCCTTTTTAAAAAATACCATTGAAATCAGCATGACAAAATAACACTGTTGGCACTTATAGGTAACGTGATTGATTCAGTATCTTAGAGTTTACAGTTTGTGTTTTAAAAAACTGAAGGTTTTTTTTTAAGTGCAACATTTCTGTATACTGTAAAAGTTATAATAACTGAACTGTTTGGTCGAGTCTTTGTGTGTTATATTCAAGGAAAATTGAAAGTATTCAGAAATTAAAATATTATTTGATATCTGAAAACTGTTTGGCAGTCCCCACTCACTGTGTCCATGGAGAAGAGCCCCTGTGAGCTCTGGACGGGCCTGAGCCGGCTTGGGGGGGGGCTCGTTTGTTTGCTGCCCCCAGTGAGCTTGTGCAAAGGTGGACTAGAATATTTGCCTGTTTAATTTGGGTGTGTGTTGGGGGGAGCTGAAGTTAATGGTTTATCTATGGTTTAGGAAGTGCCACGACTGATTAGCAAGCCACCCCATTCACCTAACCCTCCTTTTAATTAAAAATGGATTTTCCAGGAAAAAAAAAAAAAGGCCCTTATATTTGTCACACTTAAGTGCCTGCTTAGGAAAGGTATTGTGAAAGTATTAGAAATCTTGAGATCAGTATCTATTTTATGATCAGGAAAAATACTCTTTTGTACATTTCTGACAGTTATGCAGAAGATCATTCAAGCAAGCTAATCACAGCATTGTAAATAGAGGGCAGTTGTTTGCAATGAGTTTTTCCTCAAGTAGGTGTAATTTTTTAAAAAAATTATTCTACGGTTCTCATCTAGCATGGTTGTTGAGAGGATTTCAGATTCAGTGACATAGCTTATAGCGCTGAAGGGTCTGCTTTTAATGTATATATGATAACTTGCAGTTGGACTGCCTTTCCCCTCCCCCTTTACCACGGGTCAAGGGAATCTTCTCCATTGGAGTTATGTACATAAAAACACATCGACATTTGGACATTTCAGATTGTGTAGGTACAATCTGTGCTGTTCTGGGATCCTTTGTCCTTAGACGTCAAATTAAGAAAAAGGGGGGTGGGGGTGGGGTAGAACAAGAAAGACGAAAACTTTACAGGGTGTGCTGATTTGGAAGTAGTAACTATTTGTTTAAGGTCCGCCCCCCCCACTTTCTTTTCTCCTGGTGCTGGGAGCGTGCAGTTTATTCACATTGAGACTTTTCAAGCTGCCTGCCCTCGAATATACTTTACCGTGTTGTCATTTAATCTTAAAATGGGGAGGGGATCCTGGTGAGGAGGTGAAAGAAAAGGAATCATTTTGCAAAGTGTATTAAACTTTGATACTCAGTTCTCCAGTCAATACATGCAGACCAGAAAAATCTGATTTGTGCATTCGAGCAGACTTCTCCCTCTGGCTCTCAGCTTCTTTCTGTAGATATATACATCTATAAATATAAGTATGTTCTTATGGCACAGTATCCTTGACCTTTAGATGGAGGTTTTTTTCAGTTGTTTATTTTCTCCTCTTGCAAGTGCTATCCATGTGAGTGTGTGAAGTTTTCCTTATAAGTAAAACACAGGCCCTTTCCTTGTTTGTTTTGTGTTAGTTTATTGTAAACAGCCATTGTTGTAAATTATTATTGGCATTAAATTATAATTTATGATTTTCAAAGCAAAAGACAGTCCCTGTTTTATTATGCTTTAAGCATGCATTCTAGGCGTTGAAAAATCTCTCTCTCTCTTTCTCTCTCTCTAAGTTTCAGCAATGAGCTTGGGGTCTGCAAGGCCAAAAAAAAGAAAGAAAAAGACAATTTTTCAATCGGTTAAAACAAAACCCCTTGTATATGCTTAGAGTGGCCGGAGGAGGATCTGTTTAGAGTCTTGAGTTCGGTTTAAGTTTATTGCATTTAAAGAAAGTTTTTCTTTTCACGCTGAGTTAGAACAAAAGATCTTTGCTGCGACTGAATTGGACAAAAGACGAGGGCTGGGACCCAGCTAGTGCGTTCTGTGTGAAATTGACGAGATCTTTAAAAAAAAAAAAAAAAAAAGCTGCTAAACATGGCGACTCTTTCCCTTTAAGTGTCTCTTTTTCCTTGCTGTCTTTTTTTTCCTCCATCTGAACTGAGCTGCTTTATTTCTCTGCCCAAGCCCGCTCCCCCTCCTCCTCTCGGCGCTCGCGGGGGTCGCAGAACCCGGTTAGACGCGAAATGCAACAATGGTGCGCGGGGAGAAAGGAGCGACCGCTGCCTCGCGCACTTTCGGACGCTCCGGGGCAGCCCGGGCTGGCGGGACCCGCGCCGTCCCCGCCGGCGGCCCTGCTCGGGCCTG